GAAGTGATGTGAAGGGTAAACAAAGGAGGAGGCTGCAATGCTTGGTAAGAAATGTACGCATTATCCTGCCCATGCAATTGTATCCCCTCTGTACAGTATTTTCACAAATAAAATAAAAAAGAAAAAGAAAAAAAAAGAATAGACACCGTACATATCTCATTTAAAGATGAAATTAACACTTTGAGAATCCATATAGAAACCATAAATGATTCAATTTACAACATGCAAACCACAATGGAAGCCATAGTTAACAGAATAAATGAGATGGAAAATTGAATATTAGGAACTGAAGTCAAAACACAGCTGCTGGGGAAAAAATTTTCAGATTTGGGAAAAAAATACTCAGACCTTACCAAAGGGAAGTCCAAGAACATGAAAGCAATGCCAAGAAATTCAATCTTTGTATACTTTGGATCAATGAAGTATAAGAATACCAGAATAGAAGGATACAACACTAATTCAACAAGCTTATTACCATAAACTTCCCCAGCCATAAAAGAGAAAATCTCCCCTACATATCAGAATTATACAGAATCCCTAGCAAACAGGTGGAGCAACTTCTAGATACATCATAGTAATAGTACTAGATTTGAATAACAAACAGATGATCTTACATGCTGCAAAATAACTATAACAGAAAGAAAATCAGAATCACTGCAGAACTCTCTATACAAACCCTCAATGCAAGGAGAGCCTGGGAAAGTACCATTCAAGCCCTGAGAAGCAATAACTGCCAACTCAGACTGGTATATCCAGTGATGGTAGCATTAATATTCATCGGAGAAACTAAAAAATTTTAATAACAAAGAAAAACTAAATGAATTCATAAACAATAATTCAGCACTACAAAAAAAAAACATTAGGAGGGGGAATACAGTCCAAAGAAACAACATCAGGGAGCCACATCAAACATATCTCACTAGGAGATCAATTTAGTAAGCACAGGAGAAAAGGAAAGAAGCAAAACTCAGGAAAGCAATAAAGTGAGAGAAAACACAATACATCACTCTATAATAACCACACACATGGACTCAATTCATCAATCAAAAGAAAAAAGAACTGCAGAGTGAATCAGAAAACAAAAGCCATCCATTTGTTGTCTCCAAGAGACCCATCTCACAGTCAAAGATACAAACAAACTCTGAGTTTGAGGAAGATCTGAAGAAGATCTTCCATGCAACTGCACCCAGGTGCAAGAAGGCAGGGGTTGACATCTTGATATCTGACAAAATAAACTTCTCATTAAAATTAGTACAAAATTACAAAGTAGGTCACTATATATTGATACAGGGAACAATTCAAGAAGAGGATATCACCATCATCAATTTATACTCACCAAACATTGGAATACCTAAATATGTGAAGCAAATGCTCTCAGACTTACAGAGAAACATAGATCCAAATACAATAATACTAGGAGACTCTCACCAAAGGACAGGTCTACCAACCAGAAGATTCACAATGAAACCTATAAACTAAGTGATTCCATATTCCAAATAACTCCTAATAAACATCTACAAAGTTTTCCACCTAACAACAACCCAAAACATATTCTTCTCAGAAGACTCATAATCTGAATTTCAAAAATAACTACTATTGAATTCACTTAGTAAACACTGAAGTCTTAAAATGAGAAAAAGTGTGGAATAATCTTTAATAAGCCGAAAGAACAAGGTACATAATGTTAGTAGTGAGAAGGGGTCTGTTAATGATGACTGGGAATGGAAATGCAGGAAATTTTACTGGTAAGTTAGAATGGCTGGCTGCAGATCTTCATAATTGGCCTTCTGCAGTCTACTAGCACTACAGTAAAGACTCCAAAATTCAGCCTCTAAAAAAATGAGTTAGAATGGCTGAATGTATGAAATCTCCAGTCTATTGATTCCAAGAAACTCAATTGACTATCAATGACCCTCAATGACTGTAAGGAAGGAAAGTAAGCCAGACCAAGAGAAACATAAATTGCATGGTTTCTCTGAGTGTAGTAGCTAGAATGTACCTATGAATCTAAGTAAACAAACTAAATGTTAAAAAACAAAACAAAAAACACCCAGGCATGATAAATTTTACAGGTCTCTAGGCATTGCTCAGAGTGAGAATAAAGGAGAATATTCTTTTTTTCCATTTTCCTATTTATTGTTTGTTTTAATATTAGCATTTAGTAGTTCTATAGATTATTGCATATTTTTTTCAAAGTTAGGATGTTATCAACAAAGCAAAAATAGCAGTATGTCCTTCAATTTGTGCCAACTCCTACGTATATTTTCTGATCTATAATTGTCAGAAATATTGCTCTCTGTAGAAATCACTGTTGGAATTGCACATGAGTTTTAATTTTCTCAGTAGTGCCACTGTGTTCATGTCCTTGTTTTATTTGTCTTATTATTTTTTACACAGGGATGTCTTCACATTTTTAATAAATTTAATTTTTGCATATTTGTGATATGCAAATCAAAAGGATAATATTCTTAGGAAAAGAACCCAAATTCAAGGCACAATACCTATGTGCATCTGATCATATAAAATAATATTTGTCAAAATCAACTGTAAGAAATGGAAACACGGAGGGGGGACCAAGATGGCGACAGGGCAGGAGGGAAACGCCACAGCTCTCCCCAACCAAAAAGAGAGTTCGAGTTCCAACGCTTAATCTCCCCAAGAGACCGACAACAACAAAAAGACAAATAATCAGAGAAAAACTAGAGGTGGAAAATAACAAAAAAGAAAGAGAGGAAAAGAAGAATTTCAGAACAGAGAACAGCAAAGACCCCTTCCCTAATTTTCACTGGCTGTGCAGCAGCATGCCAAGCGGCAGCCAGCTGGCCCAGCAGGGGCTGCTGGAGTCCCAGAGACACAGGGGGCTGCCTGCAGATCACCCATGCAGAAGCCACCTGAGGTACTGTTTGGCAGATCCGCTGATTACCACAAACAGAGAAACCTACCAACCAGGAGTCTCCACGAAGATCCCACCCCCACCGCTCACTCTCCATCCGAGCAGAGAGGCTCCATCCTGCCAAAGCTGCCCAGCACCTGCAGCACGACAAAGGGAGCTGTCCGCTGATAGCGCAGAAACCACCTGAGTTACCAGTGTCAGACCCGCCAATTGGGACAACCCGGCGGGGGCTGCCAGGGTCCCAGAGACACAGGGAGCTGCATGCAGATAACTCCCGCAGAAGCTACCTGAGCATGGACACTGTAGACCCAACAGCTTCGACAGAGGCAGAGACAGAAGAGAATCACACAGAGCCACCACTGCCCAGCCCAGCCCGCAACCACCCCAACTGAACTTAGATTGCAACAGCAACTGACGACCTACACCACACAGAAACAACTAGCTCCAGGGTGAGTACCCCACAGGGGACAGTGTATCCCTCAAGGGAGACCAGAGCTGGAGGGAATCCCCAGACCCTGACCCAGACTCCCTACCCCAACACCCGAACTATAGGACCCACTAAAACTGGGAACTGTTTGAGAGCTCCACCAACCCATGGAGCACACTCCGCTGGCCAGGCTAGAGCAAGAGTGCCTCTGGAAGGGAGCTTAAATGCCCAAGCCTGCAACAGCACCCCTGGGTCAAGACAACCAACAGTAGAAGAAATTTGAACTGTGTACCCCAGGCTGCATAACCTAGTTGGTATATACAGCAGCACAGGCCCATCCAGCGTGCCCCAGGTGGGGGGCTAGAACTAGGCCTGGGGATCTGGCGCCTGAACAATACAACCAACTCCTGTCAACTGAAGTCAAAAGCTGAGCATACGCCTCAGCAGAGGGGAGAAAAACAGGGAAATGCACCCCCTGGGAAGCACGCCTGTGACAACAAAAGACCTGGAGGCTCAGGATAAGAGAAGCCCAAACCCCACCAAAACCTGACCCATATACTCTAGGCTGGGAATTGGGCAACACAGGCTGCCAGCACCTGATAGTAGGCAGGAGCTCAGGCTAGTAAGGTGGCTCAGCAGTAGAGTGATAGTCTTGGGTTCATGAGGCCCTGGATCTGATTCCTCAGCATCACATAAGCAGAAAGGGTCAGAAGTGGTGCTGTGGCTCAAATGGTATGGTGCCAGCCTTGAGCTGAAGAGCTGAGGGACAGCACCCAAACCTAGAGTTGAAGCCCACAACTGCCCCACTCCCCAAAAAAACATCAGGAGACCATAGCAGACACCAGCATCTGGGAGAGTGCATACACAGCATCTGATCTTGCCAAGAGCACCCGTAGGAGCAAACACGAGCAGTCTAGGCTGCTCAATCCTTCCAAAGCTGGGAATTGCCAGCAATCTACAGGAGAGAGCCGAGAATCCTATGTAAGTCAGACTAGCAGCTGAAGGTATGCCCCTAACAGAACCCAGATCAGGCACAGACTCTCTCTACCAATACAGAATCAGCAACCAAGCAAAGACAGACACACCAAAACAAAATGCAGATTGGTCTCCAATAATCCCTGAACCCCCATGTGAAAATCACAGAGAAAAATTACAAGGTTTATCACCACCCAGGATAGCAAGCTATCCTCAATAGCCAGCAGCTATGCAGGGGAGAGCCCCAGTGGGAGCAAAGCAGGAATGGAAGACAAAAGCTACATCCAAGGGATGCTGGAGGCAATGACTCAAGAAATAAAGCGAGATATAGATCAGAAATTGAAAGAGCACAAGAATGAACTTTCAAAAGAGATATAGGATACCAAACAGGAGATGTATGCAAAAATAGAGGCTGCACAAACCTCAGTAAGAAGTGAGATAAATGCCAAATTAGAGGTAGTACATAACCTCATTAAGAGGTGAGATCAGTACTTTGAGAACCAATCTCGAATCCATAAACAAATCCATTTCCTCCATGCAAACCACAATAGAAGCTAAGGTCAAAAGAGTGAACAAAATGGAATGTAGAGTGTCAGATACAGAAGACAGAATACACCATCTGGACTAAAAAGTGACAGATATGGAAAAATCACTCAAATTAAGCTTAAGGAAAATTCAAGAGCAAGCAGATAATGCCAAGCAATTTAACGTTCGTATAATTGGAGTGGACGAAGGTGAGGAATTTCAGAGCAAGGGAATGCAACACCTATTCAACAAGATAATCGGTGAAAATTTTCCCCACCTCAAAAAAGAACATCTTACCTACATAACAGAAGCATATAGAATACCCAACAAGCAAGATCCCAGGAGAAACACTTCTAGACACATTATAGTAAAAATGATAGATCTGAATAATAAGGAAACAATCTTGTATGCAGCAAAAATGAAGAAGGAGCTATACTACAATGGGAAAAAAATTAGAATCACTGCAGATCTCTCCACACAAACACTGAATGCAAGAAAGACCTGGGAGCCAATAACTGCCAACCCAGACTGATATACCCGGCAAAGCTAGCATTCACATTCGATGGAGAACTGAAAATTTTGAATAGAAAAGTAAAACTAAATGAATACATAAACATTAAGCCAGCATTACAAAGAATACTAAGAGGGGGAACACAACCTGAAGAAAGCAACCAGGAGCTGGGACCTGCAACCCAGACAGGCATTAATCAAAGTCTATCTGAGCAAGCACAGGAGGGAAGGAAAGAAGAAAAACTCGGGAAAACAGGGAATGACAGGGACAGCAATGCATCTCTCTATACTGTCTTTTAATGTTAATGGGCTTAATTCACCAATCAAAAGAAAAAGAGCTGCAGACTGGATCAGAAAACATGACCCATCCATCTGTTGCCTTCAGGAGACCCACCTCTCAGCCAAACATACAAACAAACTCAGAGTAAAGGGTTGGAAAAGGATCTACCAATCACATGCCCCCAGTAAGAAAGCAGGTGTAGCTATCCTGATATCTGACAAAATAAACTTTTCATTAAAAACAGTACAGAAAGACAAGGACGGACCTTACATATTAATACAGGAACAATCCAAGAGGAAGATATTACCATTATCAACTTATATGCTCCAAATATTGGTGCACCCAGATATGTTAAACAAATACTCTCAAACTTACAGAATATAATAGATCCCAATACGATAATACTAGGAGTCTTTAACACACTACTCTCACCAAAGGACAGGTCTACCAATCAGAGGATTGGCAAAGAAGCAACCGAATTAAGTGAGGCCATACTTCAAGTGGAATTAACTGACATCTACCGAGTATTTCACCCTAAAACAACACAGTACACATTCTTCTCAGCAGCTCATGGAACTTTCTCCAAAATAGAACATATCATAGTTCATGCAAGGAACTTAAGCAAATACAAAGGGATTGACATAATCCCAGGTATCCTATCTGACCACAGTGGAATCAAGCTAGTTCTCAATAACAAAGCATACCACAGAAATTTCTTTAATACATGGAAATTGAACAGCACACTCCTTAGCAATGTATGGGTAATGGAAGAGATCAGAGAAGAAATAAAACATTTCCTACAACTCAATGAAAATGAAAATACCTCGCAAAGAAAGTTGTGGGACACAGCAAAAGCAGTCCTGAGGGGCAAATTTATTGCCCTCAGTGCCCATATCAAGACAGTGGAGACAGACCAAGTAAATAATCTAATGTTGCAATTAAAACAGCTAGAAAAACAAGAAAAAATGGACCTAAAGTTACTAGACAGAGCCAGATAACCAAATTAAGAGCAGAGATTAACCAATTAGAAAATCAGAAAATTATAGCCAAAATTAACCAAACAAAAAGCTGGTTCTTTGAAAAAATAAACATAATTGATGGACCGTTGGCAAGATTAATTTAAAAAAGAGAGGAAACCCATATTAACAGGATTAGGGATGCCAGGGGGAAAATCACAACACGTACCCAAGATATCCAAACAATTCTAGCAGACTACTTTCAAAAGCTATACTCTCTAAAGGAAGAAAACCTGGCAGAAACGGATGCATTTTTATTTTATTTTATTTTATTTTTTGGGTCCAGTCATGGGGCCTGAACTCTGGGCCTGGGCACTGTCCCTCAGCTCTTCAGCTGAAGGCTAGTGCTCTACCACTTGACCCACTGCGCCACTTCCGGCTTTTTTCTTTTTGCTTATGTGGTGCTAAGGAATCGAACCTAGGGCCTCAGGCATGCAAGGCAAGCACTTTAACCACTGAGCCACCTTCCCAGCCCTGGATGC